TTGGAAGTGCTAGAGTCTTGTGGTTTTGGGCAGAGGTGGTGCAAGTGGATTAAAGGGTGCATTAGGACTTGCCATTATTCTGTGTTAGTAAATGGTAAGGTGGCAGATCACTTTCCAACTGTGCAGGATATTAGGCAAGGGGACCCTCTCTCCCCTTTTCTCTTTACCCTAATTACTGAAGTGCTAGGGAGGCTTATTGAGAGAGCAGACTCCAGAAATTTGATAAGTGGTTGGAGAGTGGGGAGGGATAGGGTTCCAATCACTCACCTATAATTTGCAGATGACACAATTCTGTTTTGTGATGGAGAGGAGATTAGCTGGGTGTGCAATATGAAGATGGCGATTAGGGTGTTTNTCACTCACCTATAATTTGCAGATGACACAATTCTGTTTTGTGATGGAGAGGAGATTAGCTGGGTGTGCAATATGAAGATGGCGATTAGGGTGTTTGAACAAATGACCAACCTCAAGGCAAATCTGGGTAAGAGTTGTGTGATTGGTATTAATATGAGTGAGGGAGAGGTGGAGGAAAGGGCTTGAGTGTTAGGATGTGAGATAGCTCATTGGCCACTGAAGTACTTAGGGCTTCCTTTGGGAGACAATCCCAGAGAAAGGAGCTTTTGGAATCCGGTGATTGACAGGTTCACTAAAAGGCTAGCTTCCTGGAAGAAGAACTACTTGTCTCCGGGGAGCAGGATAACACTGATTAAGTCAACTTTGGCAAACCTTCCAATATATTTCTTGTCGGTGTTCAGAATTCCAGAAGGACTTTGTAGGGAGTTGGAAAAATTAATGAGGGACTTTTTATGGGAACCTGGGGAGGAGAGAAAGGACCATGAGTTAGGTGGGATCCAGTTACAAGACCTAAAAGTGAAGGGGGACTGGGGTTGGGAAATCTGCGAAAGAAGAATGAAGCTCTTTTAGGGAAATAGTTATGGAGATGGTCCAAAGAAAAAGAAACTTTGTGGGCTAAAATAATCCTAAGTATTCATGGGCAAGAGGCAGATGGCTAGGATCTGGGACTATCATCTAGGGCTTCAAGAGCCTCCCCTTGGAAGTCGATTCATGTTGTCTTGCAGTTTTTTCTTCCATTTATCAGGTATGATCTTGGTTCTGGTTTGTTTGTATTTTTTTGGGAACACACTTGGGTGGGGGATTTTCCCTTGAAAGAGCAGTTTCCCTCTTTGTTTGCTTTGTCTAGGTTTAAAAATGAACCAGTAGCAACATTTGCTAACTTGTCTAATTCCGCTACTGGTTGGAACTTGGGTCTCGGAAGGGCTCTCAGAGATTCTGAGTTGGAACCCATTTCGAATCTGCTTAAAATCTTGGATGAGGTAGTYCTTGAACCTTCCATTGTGGACTCCAGGGTGTGGTCTCTTGTTCCCTCGGGTATCTTCTCCTACTCCTCATTCTTTAAAGCATTGACATGGTCTAGTCCAGTACCTGGGCCTCCTTTTCCAGTTCGGGAAGTTTGGGGTAGCCCCATCCCTCCTAGGGTAGGTGCTTTTTGCTAGGAAGATATCCTAGAAAAGTGTAACACTTGTGACCTACTTCAAAAGAAAAGGCCTAATTGGTGTTTATCCCCACACTGGTGCATCCTATGTAAGAAGAATGGTGAAAGCTGTTATCACTTGCTTGTCTCTTGCCCTTTTGTTTCAGATATTTGGTGTTGGTTCTATTCTTTATTTGGTTGCAGGTGGCCCTCCCCTTCAAGTGTGCAAAGCTTGTTTAGCTCCACTCCAATGAGGGGTCTAAAGAAGAGAGGTAAAATTTTGTGGAGRTGCGCTAGAGYTGTTGTTTGCTGGACSRTCTGGGAAGAAAGAAATCAAAGATTATTTCATGAAAAAGAGAAAAGCAGGGAAGCCCTCATAGAACTTGTATATGTCAGGGTGGCTCAATGGATCAAGTCTTTGAAGCTTTTTAAAGCCTTTTCAGTAGGAGACATCATTAGAAAATGGGAAGAAGTGGCTCGGTCAGCTCCTATGTCTAGTGATATCAGACCTGTTTGGACTCCACCAAACTTGGGTTTCATCAAATTGAACTTTGATGGTAGTAGTGAAGGAAATCCAGGCCCTTCAGGCATAGGTGGTATTTTCAGGAACAAAAAAGGGTGAATTATTGCTATGTTCTCAGGACCTATAGGTTGGGGGGATTCTCTGAGAGCTAAAATCCTAGCAGTTGTAGAAGGAGTCAAAAGGGCTAAGCAATTGAATATTAGCAAGTTGGTGGAAGGTGACTCCCAACTGACTGTTAGATGGTTGCAAAGGGAAGAGTCCAGCATATGGAAGTTCTCAAATGAAAGAAAGAAAATCAAGCAACTAATTCAGAACATGACTATAAGGTTTCAATGGGCTAAGAGGAGTACCAACTCCACGGCTGACTCCTTGGCTAAACAGGGGGTGGGAAGATCTATTTTGTTTTGGGTTATTCTGTAATATGTTTTTCAGGTTTGAAAGGGAGGGTTAAGACATTTTACCCCTCCTTTCTAGTTGTATCTTCTTATCTCTTTTAATAAAAGTACTGTTATTGATCAAAAAAAAACAAAAAAAAAGTGAAGAAGGCTTATGGAAAGGGTTTGAATCAGTTCCAGGGGGGAAAGTGCAGTTACTCCAATTTGCAGATGACACATTGTGTTTTATTGATGCAGATCTAGGTCAACTAGAAATCATGCTTGGGGTGTTAAGTTGGTTTGAAGTGGTAACATGTTTAAAAGTTAGCTGGGTCAAGAGTAGAGTAATCCCTATGGGGAAGGTTGAGAATCTTGAAGTGCTAGCTGAAGCTCTTGCTTGTCAGATTGGGTACCTTCAAACAATGTATTTAGGGTTCCCCTTGGGGGCTAAATGCTCTTCCTCCTCTAACTTGGGATCTGGTGGTGAAAAGATTGGAAAGAAAATTAGCATCCTGGAAAGCCAAATACCTCTCTTTAGGGGATAGAATCACTCTTCTAAAGAGTTCTCTGTCTAACCTCCCCTCCTATTTCCTCTCTCTCTTCCCTATCCCTACCAAAGTGGCAAACAAAATAGAAAGGCTCCAAAGAAATTTTCTTTGGAAGGGCTGGGAGGAGAAAAAGAAAATACGCTTAGTCAGTTGGAAACAGGTGTGTACTCCGAAAGAAAGAGGTGGCTTAGGGGTGAGAAGTCTGAGGACTTTAATAAAGCTCTAATGAGTAAATGGAATTGGAGATTCACTAGAGAAAGAACTAGCTGGTGGAGGTCTTTAATGGCAGACAAGTATAAAACAGATGGAGGGGATTGGACAACAACCTTGAACTTTCCTTCCTCGGGTTGCTCTCTTTGGAAGAAAATTATGGAAATCTACCATCTGGTTCAAAGTGGCTTGTCCCTTAAGTTGGGTTCAGGCCTTCGCTTGAAATTTTGGAAAGACAATTGGTGTAACAATAGGTCCCTTGAAGAGCTGTTCCTTTACTTGTTTCAACTTGCAGAGAATCAGGATGTTATGGTGGCAGATTGTTGTAAGCTGATGGGGAATAGTATTGTATGGAGCCCTAAGTTCAGAAGACCTTTCCAAGATTGGGAAGTGGAACAAGTGGTGAACCTGTTGGACTTGCTCTCTAGTCAAGTTCTGAACCCATTGGAAGAGGATGCTTGGATTTGAAAGTGGAATGCTGATGGAATATTCACTGTAAGCTCTTTAGCCAAAAGATTAGCTGCTAGTGGAGGACTGGATAACTTTCCTGCTACTAGAATTTGGACTCAGATTCCTCCTCTCAAAGTGAATGTGCTGCTGTGGGTGGTGGTATTGGACAAAAATCTAACTAAACAGAATTTGAAAAAAAAGAGGAATTCTGATTCAAAATATGTTGTGTGAGCTATGTGTGAAAGCGGAGGAGGACAACAATCATCTCTTCATCCATTGCCCTTTCACGGCTGGAATTTGGAACCATTTTCTCTCTTCGGAAGGTATTTCCTGGGTCATGCCAAAACAGGTTTCAGATCTGCTAAGGAGTTGGGATTTGTTAGGCTTTTGCCTTTCTAAGCTGGCTAGAAGTGTGTGGTGGGCTGTCCCTGCAGCTATTATCAGTTCCATATGGGCAGAGAGAAACAGAAGAATCTTTCAGAATAAGAAAAAGGAGGCAGGTTGTCTTGTGTCTGGTGCAGTGCGAAAGATAGTGTCCTGGACTGCCAGTGTAAAAGGCATACAGCCTAGGGTCTTGGGGTCTCAGTTAAGATCTGTTAGTATATTTGAATTGTAATGTAAACTGAGAGGCTGTTCTCAGTCTTTGCTCCCTTCTGGAGGCCCTTTGTATGGTTCTGATTTCTATTAATAAATTTACCCTACCTTTTTCAAAAAAAAAAAAAAAATAAGATCAGTTAATTGTATAGCTGATTCTTTATCTACAGAGGGTTGGGCATTAGAGGTGTAACAGGGATCAACCTTCTCAGGCTAGCACTAAGGGATTTTTTGTGGATTCTGGTGAAAAGATGTTTTCCTCTAGTCTATCTGGTATCTTGGTTTAATAGTTGCTTTCCTTGTCTCCTTGTACTCTTATCATTTAATTCTTACTAAATCTTCTTGATATTTTTTTATGAAATAAATCTTCTTGATACTGTACTACGCAAAGGGAATTCAAACCTGTTATGCATAAAAAAAAAGGAAAGAAATCCACTCTACCATAAATGTAAGCAATAAAAGTTACAACAGAAACACAGTTTAGGAAAGGGAAAGAAAATATATTAAAGTTTTCAAATTTCACCAATAGCATTTCATTCCGCCCCGTGGAACAGAGAAACGTTATAATAACCTAAAAACGGTTATAAAGTTCCTTAAAATTTAGCCTCCATAAGCCCTCTAAGTTACCACCATTCTGAATTTACAGAGAACAATTAGTCAACTACTTGGTTTCATTTCAAGCGCATGTTGTACCAAGTGTTCTCTTTACATATTCTTTTACTTGTAAGAATCAACTTTAACTCTAAACCCATTTAAATAAGTACAAAGACACAAGTAAAGAAGCAAATAAAGTAAATAAAACTAACCCTGGACCATCTTCTGCAGAGCCTCGATTGCTATCGTATCCGAAGTGACAAACACTGGGTTCCTTGTCATAATTTTTGAAACTATTGTTTGCTCTGGCCTCAACCCTTCAGCTATAACTCGAGTTGCAATGTCCTGAATCCAGACAAATACATTCAATAAAAGAAGAAACGAATCATCATACCCAAACAATACACATAAAGTGCTCGCCAAACCTTGTCCGTAATAATTCCTGAGAGCAAAGCATTCGAATCAGTAATCAGAGCAGCGTTGATACGCCGAGACGCCATTCTCCGGCATGCCTCAGAAACAGTCGTTCCCTCGGGAATCGTTAGTGCTTTCGACAACCTCAGCTTCTTCACCGTCCTCTCCCCACCAACAGACCTACACCTCCACCCAAACAATGAAATCATATTAGAGCAATCAAAAACAAAGCAAGAAAGAAGTTGCAGAGTAGAAAAAAGAGTAGTTGAAATTACGAGTGGCTAGGAGAGGTGGGCTTCACTTGGGTTCCATTACTGTTTCCGTTCTCAACAGGGACCGATTTCTTCAAGGTCGAAGGACCGCGTCTTAGATTCAGGCTGGTTCTCCTCGGAGGAGGAGCTACTTGGCTGCTCATCTTGGACTTGCAAGAAACGAAAATTTAGGGTTTTGAGAGACGAATACGAACAGATAAGCCAAAGTATGTTGTTCCTGAAATCCCTAAAAGCTCAGACTTCGTTATTTTGCAGGGGAAACTGGAAAGTAATCAGAACTTCAAAAGTTGAGCTTAGAGAGAGAGAGAGAGAGAGAGGATCAAATGGTCTAGAAGGATTTAAATACCCTTCCCTTCTCTCTCTCTCCTCTTATCTAGAGAATAATTCTTTCCCACCCGTTTGTGAGATGGAGATTTCAAATTATACTTGCTCGGTAGTTGCTCCTTGGATGGGCTATAACTATGAAATTGCCACTTTAATTTGGATGAATTACGAAGATGCCGATAAAGTTTTAACTCATGTAGCAGAAAAAGCCAGAAATGTATTCTGCTGTGCTGTGGTTTCTGGCTTCATGTGGTATTCCTGAGTGCCACGTATCAGTGAGGGGCTCCTCACATGATGGAGGGGTTTTTATCCGGTGGATTGTTGTCATTGGCAATACAGGGTTGAGAAGGTTTATTAGATTCCAATCTGATGTGAGCGAAATGTCTTCTCATAGTTGGGACCCTTTAGAGAAACAAAATTCTTTTCTTTTTAATTTTTCATTATGATTAGATTCTGTGATGTCTCAGTTTAGGACATGAAAATGGATTTAGTCGTAATTATTAATTATTATAATACCCAATTTAGGAGTCACAATCCATTTATGGTAAAGAAGAAAACAGTTGAAAGTTGAGACGGTTAGCCCAACCATCCAACTCCAAATCATCCTACATATGAGGAATGGTCTAGATTGTCATGTTATATTGTCAAAAAGGGCTGAGAGGTCATCTAGGGAATACCCAAGGTATAAATTCGCTATTTTTGCTTAATCGAGTATACTTCAAATGTCATTAATTGCAAGAGACTTTAGGAATTCAATGCTCCATTTATTATATTAGAAAGTTTATTTGATAGAAAAATTAAATTCTATTTTAAGATTACATAAGCAAATAAACTAATTAATGTAATTGGTTCATTACTAACTAAAATACTCTATATTATTATGCATGCATGTATTATAGTGGGCTGGATTGGTCCAGGCTTGGGTTGGACCTACCCAAGCTGCACCTGTAGGTTATTAGTGTTACCTGAGTTGAGGTCTACTGTGTTTAAAGGGATGGCCACATGGCAAATCAGAACCACGGCAACCACTGGTCCTATCTCCTCACTCCTCTAACCCAAACCAAGTCCTATAATCAAAATGGATAATTTACTTAAGACACACCCTTTATTTGATCATTTTTACTAAAACCTATCCTCTAGTTTGTATATTACTTAAAGCACCCCTATAGCTTCTTTCTGCCTCTCACTTAACACTATTCCTCTTTAACGGAAATGTAAAATTACCTATTTAAACCAAACTTCCATTCAACAACAACCATTGAGGGCCTGTTTGTTTATTAGATTTTGAGAGTGAGAAAAATTGGTTAATGGGATTTGGGTTTTTTTTTTACTAAGATGCTCATATTCTTTTTTTTTTCAGATTTTATGTGGGGTTCATGAAAAATTTATTTTCCTTGAAAATCAAATACCCATTTTCCAGGTGGATAAATAACTTTTCCACCTGGGTGAAGTTGTCAATACATAGATGGGACAAAATTGCCCCTTTTAGTAATGACTTTTTGGCTAAAATGGTTATTGTTGAATTACTTGGAAAATAAAAGAACCTTTGATGGTAAGATCTTGGAGCGACAAGCATGAAAAAACAAATTAGGATCACATTTATTGATGACTTTTAACAAGTTAATAGAATTCTGATCATCATATTGTCATAATAATCAAAATTAGTACTAATCTCAAGCAAATCAAACATTACATGGGTTTCCTATCCTATTTGAAAAATTTTGGACTTCTCCCACCTTGAATCTTCTTTTGAGTTTTCTCTTCTTTTAGTCACCCATCTTGAATTACACCAATATAATATCTTTGGATGTAACTAGACTTGTTCAAGGGTTGGGGCTTTGCCTTTACATTAACAGAAAATGTTTAGGCCCGAGCCCGAGCCCGGCTTGACCATTGGGCCTAGGTCTTGAGCCCAAGCCCGGTCCAAGTATAAAGCTCAAAGCCCGAGCCTAAGCCCGACTAAAAATTTGGAAAAAAAAAAGATTTTTCCTTTTTAAATCAATTAAAAGTTGTTTTATTTATACTAAAAGACCTCAAAACCTAAAAAAATAATAAAAAGTCTCATTATTACTTGAAAAAAGAGAAGAAAATATATTGTATATATGCATTTTTATTATATAAAATATATTTTTATTAATATAATACATTATCAAGTCGGGCTCGGACTTGGGCTGGGATTTTTTGAGAAAGCCTGAGACCAGCCCGAAAAAAGTTAGGCCTGATATTTTAGGCCCGAGCCCGTGGGCCTGAAATCTTGTTCAAGACAGACTTAGATCGAGCTAGGTTGGGCCGGCCCATCAGGCTACCCGGCCCATGAACAAGTCTAGATGTAACCCATGCTAAGAAAATAGTTTTATTGAATGAGAATTTAGGGAAAGTCCAACAATAATATAGGAGGTTTAACTACAAATTTCTAAAGTCTTGTTGGAATGTGAAGAGATAGCAAAACCTATGTCTATATTGTAAAAAAATGCATTCAAGTAAGACTTGTTTAAGTCTATATTGAGGCTTTCTGCATTGAACCTTGATCACTCATCCTTGAGGGGGATTGGGTGACTATCATTCAGGAATTGGATTTTTTTTTTCTTTTGAGAAAGAGGTAATGTATTATTTTAATTTTGGCAAAAAGTACAAGTAAATATCAAGTATGCTCCATGTACAACCAATAACCATATAGAAAGGCCACCCTAAAAAACGGCTCTCAAAAATAAATACAAAAGTAATCATACGACTGCGACACTAATTAAAACTAAATACAAAAGTAATATGAGAAAGACCCAAGTCCTAGCCCACTTTTTTGTTGCAAATAGGAGGTTGAGTTGGCTACATTTTATGCCACACTAGGTCAATCAAACAGATCTAGTATGTGTGGTCAAAAAGTGCAAAATCTAAAGATTATAATTAAAACAATACCTAAAACTATAAACTTAAGGGGGTGTTAACCTATGTCCATTCTGCTTATGTCATTTGTTTGTGTTGAGGCTCTTCCAATCATATTATAATAAGATATATCTAAGTCAATTATATGATCTCATCATTCAAATTTTATTTATTCAATTGAAATACATACCACTATTTCAACTATCTTCTCATTCACAATGATCCCATCTTTACATGTACGATGGTTAATGTATATTTGTGCACGTGAAGGCAGTACTCCGTTGGCTTCCTCAGTCTACAATCACATATATTTCATTAACTAGTAACACCAAAATACCCATAAAACTTATTTTTATTAAGCAAAACATTACTTCTAAAGAAAACACAAAATCGCATTCTCTTGAATGAACTTTGTTTCCATACAATAAGGCTCTTCCAATTTCACATGACTTTCTTTGTTTATTAAACAAATTCTCTATAACAAAGGAAACAAAAATTAGAAAATACTCATCCGGAGATCATTATTTACATAACTTCTAATAATAGCAATTATAATAATTAATCATTATTATCAACATTTAATCGTATATTTCCTTTCTAAGATAACCAGTGGTGAACAATGTCATGCCATTGATCTTTACCTACCCGAGGGATCATATATTCTTTTAATCATTTCTTTGTCTTATTTTGATCGTAACCCTTAACTTTTAATTCACACTTCCATTGCCTCCACTTTTCACCCATATTACTTATGATCAATTTCTTTGTCTTTTCAATAAGGCATAACATCACATTTCACCAATCTAATAAAGAATTAAATGAAATAAAAAAAATTCAAATAATACATACCTCTATTGTTTTCCATATATCAACCTTGTTTTTATTTGGCATTTAATGCCAATTTAACTAATTAATGAGTGCAAAGGTTGATATCCTCACCATGCTACCTATGAATCGAGTAAGAGTGCACGCTTCATTACTTACTAGTTGATGATCAATATTCAATTGAACAATGCATTCTTCATTTGGCATATTCCATACATCAGCTATGTGTGTGGGACCTCGAGTCCTTTTAGATTGGTGAGAACCATTTACTTATCCGGATAAATGCATTTACCCATGTTCTTTTATTTCTCAGGTAGATAAGACAATAACCATTTTAGCCATAAAAAGCCATTATTAAGGAGTAAGTGATACCCAAAGAAAATAAATTTCCTTGGTCCCCAAATAAATCTAAAAAAAGAACATTGGTATCTTGTTCAATGGGCAATCCCATTGGACATTTCTCCTCCCAAAATCCAAAAAAAACAAACAGGCCACAAAGAGCTTTTAACGATGTTCTTGAGGTTGTTGTAGAGTGGGAGATATCTATTTCTCATTAGACATGCCCACCACTCTTGAGATGTTGTAAATAGAAAACAACTCACACTGATTGAAATCTTGCATTTCTTTAATTGTCAGATGACATCACCCAATAGGGGAGGTGTTAGTCCAATTTAAAAAGAGAGGGAGGTTTTTGTATTTAGGAGAAACCTTAAGGGAGGTTTAAGTTTTTTATTCTTAGGCCTCATTTGTGTTTCGTTAAATGATTTACCTAGGTAAATGCACTTATCTGGTTAAGTGTTTCCTAAGTAAAGGCGTACAATGACTGATTTATCTAGAAAAAATAACATTATTGAAGGGACAATGTTGTCCCATCATGTATTAGCGATTTTGAGTGCACATGGGTAAATAACCTACACAAGTCTGAAAAAAGCATTTCCTAGGTAAATGAGTTGCTTAGGCATCATTCTTTTCCATAAGATTCACCAATACAAAAAAATGAGTATGGGTTTATTTCTTTTCCATGGGACCTATCAACTTACTTGCCCCTACTTCCCAAAAAACAAATGAGGACTTAATAATATTAAGTTTAAAGGAAAAACTTTTCAAAACCTAACTGAGGTGGCATTTGATTGCACTTTTTAGAGGTTTGAATCTGAAAATACTAAATTTTAAACCTCACCTCTTGTTTGGTTGTACCTCTTAAACTGGGTCTGAAATTGATTTTCAAATGAAAATCATAGACTTTGGGTTGGCTCTTAATGTGTTCAGACTCATTTCAAAGTTGGCCCAATGTCCAAAATATCCCTCTCTCTCTCTCTTGGTCTCTCTCTCTACCCTGTCTTCCTGCCACTGTCACTACAAGTTGCAG